AAGAGAATTTCAAAGAATGGTGGCTCAAGCATACTGATAAAGAAGCAGCCCTCCTTACTGACTAAAGAAGAGACAATTCATGTACAAAACTATTTGGCTATGGAGACAGATTCCAAGTATACAGAACACACAAAAAAACAGCCACTTTGTGTTCTTTAGTTGGTCGATTAAGAGAACATTACAAGCTTATACAATTTTGAGAAAACGTACCCACAAATTCCACCAGTGCTCATGTCAAATCCACCATCAATAAGTTCCCCATCATCAGTAACACTAGGTTTCGCCATTTGATCAAGAAACTTATAAGGAAGCCCATAACCTAACGACGTCACCACAAGACCAATCCAATGTTTCCAGGTAAAGCTCGAATGAAAAATCAGCATCCTCACTATAACGTACACAACCTGCAAACACACATATATCGCAAAAAAAAAAAAAAAACCCAATCGGAATCAATCATCCGATCTTGACCTAAGTAATTAAAATCAACGATTTGTAGTTCCCAAGTAACGAATCTAATAACTGTATCGAAAATTAAACGGATTTATGATCGAGAATCTGAGAAATCAGTACATTGCAAGCGATGATGATTCGACGGAGCTTAGCCATGTGACGAGCGTTCTCATCTTTCCGCTTCTTTGCTCCTTGATTCGCCATTAATCAATTCTCCGATTCTAGCTCAAGAAAGGTGAGAGTAGCTAAAGCCACAAATTATGAACAACAAGTCTCTCTGTGAGAAAATCACCGGCCAGTCAAAAATGTCGATTGAAGAAGACGACAGTTCGTAACTTCCGATTGGGTACAATCTTATGGGCTGAGGCCCAATAAGTTATTGAGCCCCATGTTTGATTTAAACGAATATCAAGACAATTTTTGTTCTTCGAATGTTCCAAAATCTGTGTTATGGTTTAAGGTCAATTCTAACATATTAATTTTGTCATGATTATAGAAAAGAAGCGGACATTAGGTACGGGGTTGGTCAGAAATAATAGACATGTTTGCGATTGTAAGAACTGACGTGGACACGTGGGAGCATGCGCAATACAACCAGTCACTGTCAAGGTTGTATTCAAGTACGAAGTACCCCATCGTGATCAAACCGAGAAATTCTATTTTATTTTTGTAATTACCGAGACTTTAATGATATTTACATTTTTTAGCAAAAAAAAAAAAAATTGGTAATTTTAAAATATTTGATCGATATTAATATAACATGCACTACATAAAAAAAATAAAGGCTAATTTTTCTCAACCGAAAGTCGCATTATCTTCTTATTTTTCCTACAAAAGAATTATCATGTCAAGAGAATTTATATATACACACCTCTGCATTAAAGGTCTAGTGATCCACTTGCAAATCCGAACGTTGAAAAAACTGATTAAATATAGACCGTTGGATCATCATAGGGACCAAGAAGGATTTAGGTATATTCCACGTGGAAGATGCTTAGCCCTTGAATGGACATTTGCTATGGCCCACCAAAATGCTGTCTTATTAAACGCAACTTCGAGACGCTACCATTATCATACAGAATTTTTATGAAATTTCTCATTACTATGAAACTTCTAATTTGACTTGTACACATCATGTAAGGTAAAGTTTAGGCCCAGACGTGTACCTATAACATATGGACCATCTGTGCGACCTTTACTGGCTAAAA